AGAAGTGTCTGTAATTGTTGGTGTAACAGAAGTGTCTGTAGTTGTTTGTGTAATAGACGTATCTGTAGTTGATGGTTTAATAGAGGTGTCTGTAGTTGTTAGTGTAACAGAGGTATCTTTATTTGCTTCTGCAATATATGCATCTGCAGTTGTTGGTGTAAAAGAAGCGTCTGTAGTTGTTGGTGTAATAAAAGTATCTGTAGTTGTTGATGAAATAGAAGTATATGTACCCGTAAGTGTAACAGAGGTATCTGTAGTTGTATGTGAAATCAAAATATCTGAAGTCCTTGGTGTAACAGAGGTATATGTAGTTGTTGGTGTAACTGTTGTATCTGTAGTTGTTGGTGTAACAGAAGTGTCTGTAGTTGTTGGTGTAATAAAAGAGTTTGTGCTTGTTGGTGTTACAAAATTATCTGTAGTTGGTGGCGTAATATAAGTGTCTGTAGTTGTTGATGTAACAATAGTGTCTGTAGTTGTTGGTGTAACAGACGTATCCGTAGTTGTTGGTGTAACAGAAGAATCTGTAGTTGTTGGTGTAACAGAAGTATCTGTAGTTGTCGGTGTAACAGAAGTGTCTGTGGTTGTTTGTGTACCAGAAGTGTCCGTAGTTGTTGGTGTTACAGAAGTGTCCGTAGTTGTTGGTGTAACAGAAGTGTCTGAAGTTGTTGGTGTAACAGAAGTGTCCGTAGTTGTTAGTGTTATAGACGTGTCTGTAGTTGTTTGTGTAATAAAAGAGTCTGTGCTTGTTGATATAATAAAATTATCTATAGTTGTTGGCGTTATATAAGAGTCTGTAGTTGTTGATGTAACAGAAGTGTCTGTAGTTTTTGGTGTAACAGAAGTACCTGTAGTTGTTGGTTTATCTGATGTTTCTGTCTTTGTCGGCATAACTGATGTAAGCGTAGATGTAGGAGTTTCGGATGTCTTTTGTGTAACTGTTGTTTCTGTAGTTGTCGGCGTTACTGATGAAAACGTAGATGTAGGAGTATCTGATGTCGCATGTGTTTCTGTTGTCGTCGGCGTTACTGATATAAGTGTAGATGTAGGAGTATCTGATGTCGCATTTGTTTCTGTTGTCGTCGGCGTTTTTGATGTAAGTGTAGATGTAGGAGTATCTGAGGTCGCAAGTGTTTCTGTTGTTGTCGGCGTTACTGATGTAAGTGTAGATGTAGGAGTATCTGATGTCGCATGTGTTTCTGTTGTCGTCGACGTTACTGATGTAAGAATGACTGAAGGAGTATCTGAAGTTGCATGTGTAGCTGATGTTTCTGTAGATGTGTAACAGAAGTGTCGGTAGTTGTTGGTGTAGTAGACGTGTCTGTAGTTGTTGGGGTAACAGAGGTGTCTGTAATTGTTGGTGAAACAGAAGTGTCTGTAGTTGTTTGTGTAATAGAAGTGGCTGTAGTTGTTGGTGTAGTAACAGAAGTACCTGTAGTTGTTGGTTTATCTGATGTTTCTGTCTTTGTCGGCATAACTGATGTAAGCGTAGATGTAGGAGTATCTGAGGTCGCAAGTGTTTCTTTTGTTGTCGGCGTTACTGATGAAAACGTAGATGTAGGGGGATCTGATGTCGCATGTGTTTCTGTTGTCGTCAACGTTACTGATGTAAGAATTACTGAAGGAGTATCTGAAGTTGCATGTGTAGCTGATGTTTCTGTAGTTGTCGGCGTAACTGATGTAAGTATGACTGAAGGAGTATCTGAAGTTGCATGTGTAGCTGATGTTTCTGTAGTTGTCGGCGAAATTGATATAAGTGTGACTGGATGAGTATATGATGTCGTTTGTGTAACAGACGTGTAACAGAGGTATATATAGTTGTTGGTGTAACTGAAGTGTCCGGTGTTGTTGGTGTAACAGAATTGTCCGTAGTTGTTGATGAAATAGAAGTGTCGGTAGTTGTTGGTGTAGTAACAGAAGTACCTGTAGTTGTTGGTTTATCTGATGTTTCTGTCTTTGTCGGCATAACTGATGTAAGCGTAGATGTAGGAGTTTCGGATGTCTTTTGTGTAACTGTTGTTTCTGTAGTTGTCGGCGTTACTGATGAAAACGTAGATGGAGGAGTATCTGATGTCGCATGTGTTTCTGTGGTCGTAGGCGTTACTGATATAAGTGTAGATGAAGGCGTATCTGATGTCGCATTTGTTTCTGTTGTCGTCGGCGTTTTTGATGTAAGTGGAGATGTAGGAGTATCTGAGGTCGCAAGTGTTTCTTTTGTTGTCGGCGTTACTGATGAAAACGTAGATGGAGGAGTATCTGATGTCGCATGTGTTTCAGTTGTCGTCGACGTTACTGATGTAAGAATTACTGAAGGAGTATCTGAAGTTGCATGTGAAGCTGATGTTTCTGTAGTTGTCGGCGTTACTCATATAAGTGTGGCTAAAGTAGTATCTGGTGTCTCATTTGCAAAAGACGTTTTTGTATTTGTTGGCGTAACTGATGTAAATATAGACGAAGGAGTATCTGATTTCGCACGTGTAGCTGAAGTTTTAAGTGTAACAGAAGTGTCTTTAATTGTTGTTGTAACTGAAGTGTCTGTAGTTGTAGGTGTAACAGAAGTATCCGGAGTTGTTGGTGAAACAGAAGTGTCTGTAGTTGTTTGTGTAATAGACGTATCCGTAGTTGATGGTTTAATAGAGGTGTCTGTAGTTGTTGGTGTAACAGAGGTATCTTTATTTGCTTCTGCAATATATGCATCTGCAGTTGTTGGTGTAAAAGAAGCGTCTGTAGTTGTTGGTGTAATAAAAGTATCTGTAGTTGTTGATGAAATAGAAGTATATGTACCCGTAGGTGTAACAGAGGTATCTGTAGTTGTATGTGAAATCAAAATATCTGAAGTCCTTGGTGTAACAGAGGTATATATAGTTGTTGGTGTAACTGTTGTATCTGTAGTTGTTGGTGTAACAGAAGTGTCTGTAGTTGTTGGTGTCATAAAAGAGTTTGTGCTTGTTGGTGTTACAGAAGTGTCTGTAATTGTTGGTGTAACAGAAGTGTCTGTAGTTGTTTGTGTAATAGACGTATCTGTAGTTGATGGTTTCATAGAGGTGTCTGTAGTTGTTGGTGTAACAGAGGTATCTTTATTTGCTTCTGCAATATATGCATCTGCAGTTGTTGGTGTAAAAGAAGCGTCTGTAGTTGTTGGTGTAATAAAAGGATCTGTAGTTGTTGATGAAATAGAAGTATATGTACCCGTAGGTGTAACAGAGGTATCTGTAGTTGTATGTGAAATCAAAATATCTGAAGTCCTTGGTGTAACAGAGGTATATGTAGTTGTTGGTGTAACTGTTGTATCTGTAGTTGTTGCTGTAACAGAAGTGTCTGTAGTTGTTGGTGTCATAAAAGAGTTTGTGCTTGTTGGTGTTACAAAATTATCCGTAGTTGGTGGCGGAATATAAGTGTCTGTAGTTGTTGATGTAACAATATTGTCTGTAGTTGTTGGTGTAGCAGACGTATCCGTAGTTGTTGGTGTAACAGAAGAATCTGTAGTTGTTGGTGTAACAGAAGTATCTGTAGTTGTCGGTGTAACAGAAGTGTCTGTAGTTGTTTGTGTACCAGAAGTGTCCGTAGTTGTTGGTGTTACAGAAGTGTCCGTAGTTGTTGGTATAACAGAAGTGTCTGAAGTTGTTGGTGTAACAGAAGTGTCCGTAGTTGTTAGTGTTTTAGACGTGTCTGTAGTTGTTTGTGTAATAAAAGAGTCTGTGCTTGTTGATATAATAAAATTATCTGTAGTTTTTGGTGTAACAGAAGTATCTGTAGTTGTTGGTTTATCTGATGTTTCTGTCTTTGTCGGCATAACTGATGTAAGCGTAGATGTAGGAGTTTCGGATGTCTTTTGTGTAACTGTTGTTTCTGTAGTTGTCGGCGTTACTGATGAAAACGTAGATGTAGGAGTATCTGATGTCGCATGTGTTTCTGTTGTCGTCGGCGTTACTGATGTAAGTGTAGATGTAGGAGTATCTGAGGTCGCAAGTGTTTCTGTTGTTTCTGTTGTCGTCGGCGTTACTGATGTAAGTGTAGATGTAGGAGTATCTGAGGTCGCAAGTGTTTCTGTTGTGGTCGGCGTTACTGATGTAAGTGTAGACGTAGGAGTATCTAAGATCGTGTGTGTTACTAATTTTTCTTTAGTTGTCGGCGTATCTGGTTTAAGTGTGGCTGTAGGAGTATCGGATGTCGTATGTGTAACTGATGTTTCTGTAGTTGTCGGCGAAATTGATATAAGTGTGACTGGATGAGTATCTGATGTCGTTTGTGTAACAGACGTTTCTGTAGTTGTCGACGTAACTAATGTAAGTATGACTGAAGGAGTATCTGAAGTTGCATATGTAGCTGATGTTTCTGTAGTTGTCGGCGTAACTGATGTAAGTATGACTGAAGGAGTATCTGAAGTTGCATGTGTAGCTGATGTTTCTGTAGATGTCGGCGTTTCTGATGTTATTTTAGCTGTAGGAGTATCTGATGTCGTTTGTATAAAGGTTTTAGTAGTTGTCGGCGCATCTGATGTAAGTTTAGATGAAGCAGTAATTGATATCGTATGTGTAAGAGATGTTTCAGTAGTTGTCGGCGTTACTGATATAAGTGTGGCTAAAGTAGTATCTGGTGTCACATTTGCAAAAGACGTTTTTGTAGTTGTTGGCGTAACTGATGTAAATATAGACGAAGGAGTATCTGATGTCGCACGTGTAACTGAAGTTTTAAGTGTAACAGAAGTGTCCGTAGTTGTTGGTGTAACAGGAGTGTCTGTAATTGTTGGTGTAACAGAAGTGTCCGTAGTTGTTTGTGTAGTAGACGTGTCTGTAGTTGTTGGTGTAACACGAGTGTCTGTAGTTGTTGGTGTAACAGAAGTGTCTGTAATTGTTGGTGTAACAGAAGTGTCCGTAGTTGTTTGTGTAAAAGAAATGTCGGTAGTTGTTGGTGTAGTAGACGTGTCTGTAGTTGTTGGTGTAACAGGAGTGTCTGTAGTTGTTGGTGTAACAGAAGTGTCTGTAATTGTTGGTGTAACAGAAGTGTCCGTAGTTGTTGGTGTAACAGAAGTGTCTGTAGTTGTTTGTGTAATAGAAGTGTCTGTAGTTGTTGGTGTAGTAGACGTGTCTGTAGTTGTTGGTGTAGTAGACGTGTCTGTAGTTGTTGGTGTAACAGGAGTGTCTGTAGTTGTTGGTGTAACAGAAGTGTCTGTAGTTGTTGGTATAACAGAAGTGTCTGTAGTTGTTGGTGTAACAGAAGTGTTTGTAATTGTTGGTGTAACAGAAGTGTCCGTAATTGTTGGTATAACAGAAGTGTCTGTAGTTGTTTGTGTAATAGAAGTGTCCGTAATTGTTGGTGTAACAGAAGTGTCTGTAATTGTTGGTGTAACAGAAGTGTCGGTAGTTGTTGGTGTAGTAGACGTGTCTGTAGTTGTTGGTGTAGCAGAAGTGTCTGTAGTTGTTGGTGTAAGAGAAGTGTCTGTAGTTGTTGATGTAACAGAAGTGTCCGTAATTGTTGGTATAATAGAAGTGTCTGTAGTTGTTTGTGTAATAGAAGTGTCCGTAATTGTGGGTGTAACAGAAGTGTCTGTAATTGTTGGTGTAACAGAAGTGTCGGTAGCTGTTGGTGTAGTAGACGTGTCTGTAGTTGTTGGTGTAGTAGACGTGTCTGTAGTTGTTGGGGTAGTAGACGTGTCTGTAGTTGTTTGTGTAACAGAAGTGTCTGTAGTTGTTGATGAAATAGAAGTGTCTGTAGTGTGTAACAGAAGTGTCTGTAATTGTTGGTGTAATAGAAGTGTCGGTAGTTGTTGGTGTAGTAGAAGTGTCTGTAGTTGTTGGTGTAATAGAAGTGTCTGTAGTTGTTGGTGTAATAGAAGTGTCTGTAGTTGTTGGTGTACCAGAAGTGTCTGTAGTTGTTGATGTAACAGCAATGTCTGTAGTTGTTTGTGTAATAGAAGCGTCTGTAGTTGTTTGTGTAATAGAAGTGTCTTTGTATCTGTAGTTGTTGGTGTAACAGAAGTGTCTGTAATCGTTGGTGTAACAGAAGTGTCTGTAGTTGTTGGTATAACAGAAGTGTCCGTAGTTGTTGATGTAACAGAAGTGTCCGTATTTGTTGGTATAATAGAAGTGTCTGTAGTTGTTTGTGTAATAGAAGTGTCTGTAGTTGTTTGTGTAATAGAAGTGTCCGTAGTTGTTGGTGTAACAGAAGTGTCTGTATTTGTTGGTATAGCAGAAATGTCTGTAGTTGTTTGTGTAATAGAAGTGTCTGTAGTTGTTTGTGTAATAGAAGTGTTTGTAGTTGTTGGTGTAACAGGAGTGTCGGTAGTTGTTGATGAAATAGAAGTTTCCGTAGTTGTTGATGTAATAAAAGTATCTGTAGTTGTTGGGGTAACAGGAGTGTCTGTAGTTGTTGATGTTATAGACGTATCTGTAGTTGTTGATGTAACAGAAGTGTCGGTAGTTGTTGATGTAACAGAAGTGTCCGTAGTTGTTGGTGTAACAGAAGTGTCTGTAATTGTTGGGGTAACAGGGGTGTCGGTAGTTGTTGATGAAATAGAAGTGTCTGTAGTTGTAGGTGTAACAGAAGTATCTGTAGTTGTTGGGGTAACAGGAGTGTCGGTAGTTGTTGATGAAATAGAAGTGTCTGTAGTTGTTGGTGTAACAGAAGTGTCTGTAGTTGTTGATGAAATAGAAGTTTCTGTAGTTGTTGGGGTAACAGGAGTGTCGGTAGTTGTTGATGAAATAGAAGTGTCTGTAGTTGTTGGTATAACAGAAGTGTCCGTAGTTGTTTGTGTAACAGAAGTGTCGGTAGTTGTTAGTGTAACAGAAATGTCTGTAGTTGTTGGTGTGACAGAAGTGTCCTTAGTTGTTGGTGTAACAGAATTGTCCGTAGTTGTTGATGAAATAGAAGGATCTGTAGTTGTAGGCATAACAGAAGTGTCTGTAGTTGTTGATGTAACAGAAGTGTCGGTAGTTGTTAGTGTAACAGAAATGTCTGTAGTTGTTG